ATAAAGTAAATACATTTCTCCCAATATAATTATAATTAAAATAAAATATCTAACAATTATAATAAAAATTTCCATTTTTCTCCAATTACTTATTATTACAAAATATCATAAAAAATATATATTTCTCTAACAAACATTATAAAAAATAATTTTCACAAATTTTTATTTATTAATAAAAATAGTCATTATTACTAAAAATCTCTAAAATATTTTATAAAACTATTTTAATTAATTAAAACAATTATAAGAAAATAATCCAATAAATATAAAAATAAATAAGAATTAAAATATTATATTAGTAGAAAATTCAAGATGTTACACAAACGAAGATCTTTTGTATTTTATTTTTAACTTTTATTTCTATACATCACGTCATTAAATATTACATTATAAGTGGTAACATCAAAATTTAATGATCAATGAACATCAAATTTGTGAGAGAACAAAAATTCCATATTTTATAGAATAAGAGATTAAATGTCTGTATTTTAAAATAAAGGAATCAAAATTGTGGATCAACAAAAATAAAGAAACTAAAAGTGCAATTTATAGTCAAATTTGTTCTAATATAATGTTTTTTTGAAACCTAACTCGATTAATTAAAATTTTTATTATTAAAAAAATGAAGTGTGTATGCATATCATTATTAAATAAACTAAACCTTTTAATTAAGTAGTTATAAGGTTTATTTTGGAACACGTGTAGTTGACTTGTTATTCTAATTTTTCATGAAAAAATTTCATTATTCAATACTGCCTCAAGTCTGGAATATAAACAAGAAAAAAATATTTTAAAAAGTTAATAAACTTTATTTAATTATGTCAATTTAATTTTTTAAAATACCTTTTATTAAAACTTGATATCAACAATAAAGAGAATTATTAAAAATAAAACATCAATTAAATAAAGAGTATTTTAGACATGATATCATCAAATGAAGTGAAATTAGTTAAAGTTTATTTATATTTAAATCAATAAATATGTTTTTATATTTTCATATATTTAAGACTGGAATATATATATATATATATATATATATATATATATATATATATATATTTTTTTTTTTTTTATAT